CACACCCACACCCACACCCACACCCACACCCACACCCACACCCACACCCTCACACCCAAGATACCGCTAAAAATGTTCATTTTCTATTGAAAAACCTTTAAAAATCATCAAAAATTAGGAGGCGTAAGTTCCATTTTGCATCGAGTCCACCATTTTTTTTCGAATATTTTTTTACCATTTTGTGGAGAAAAAAAAGTTGCATAACATATGTAAAATTCAGCTTGGGCACTCTTGATTCTGAAACACAGCAGCTGATACATTATTGTATTTGGATTGATCAAAAAGACTCCCTTCAACTCATGTTGGCTTCATAAAACACGAGTTGCTAAACATTGTGTTACCTCCGTGTAGCTCATTTTGTTCAGTTTTTAATTCTCTATCTTTTGATATATATCATAAAAAATTTCAATGATATGTTGAAACGCAAGCTGGCACAATCTTTATAGAGTATTTTTTCTTTAGTTTTCTCAAAAGGTATGATAGTGGCAAAAGTTGGTACTGGCTAACTTTTCAAAAGAAAGATATTAGAACCTAAAATTTTGGGGTTTGTGGTTTTAGACATTGATGCGTTGAATGAACAAAATAAATCAAAGCAATTTTTTTTATCGAGTGCCTCGTATATCGAACTGATACTCGGTCAGCTGATGGATCCTCTCTTAATAATGTTCGGTCGTGTTACTTGAATATGATTCTTCTGTGAGGAAAACCATCTTTTCACCAAATCAGTTGATTCACAACCATGTAGTGTTGAAAGACAATTGACAATTTGTTATCATATCATCGTGTAACACATAATTCAACACCATCAACTTGAGCAATACGATGATCCATAGAACCTCAATCTTCTTCTTCTAAAGTTTTGACATCTTTCATGACAAGATCAGATAATCGATTTGTTCGTACAGTACCAATAGCATAAATTCCCAATTTATTTAATTCTACTTGTAATCGAATGGTAGTAAAATAGTTATCAAAGTAAAGCTTGAAATTCATCATACGTAGTACAGTTGCAGAAAGTTTGAGAACAATATCTGTGCACAATCCATGTTTTGATTCATTGGTTTTGCCGGTATAAAATATAAAATCATAACAAATACCACTTGCACCACCCGTCAGTAAAAACATTTTATATCCCCAACGATTAGGCTTGTTTGGCATATGTTGCTTCATAATACTTTTACCTTTGAAAGGTATAATTTGTTCATCAACACATAAATTTTCCTCCTTCGAAATTTTTCTAAAATTTTCTTTCACAATGTTCAATAATGGTCGAATTTTAGAAGCTCGATCATAATCAGGATCGTTTTGATTTGGTTGATTGGTATTATCGACGACATGTAAATATTTCTTAATCTGCAAGAACCGATTTCGACTCATTGTCGAGGCGATAGATTGAACAAGAGTACTGGTTGTCCAATAAAAACGTTGTTGAGGAAAGGAATACATGCCGGTCATGATCAAAATTTCAATAAATTGATGGATTTCAGTTTCTGAATTGTTAACTGGTCGGTTTGGGTTCACCTGGACAGAGTAAGGATTTGATTGATCTTTTAAAATACCATATGATTTTTTGCCAAACATCGAATAGAAATAATCAATTGGATCTCGTTCATAATTGATTGGAGGTGGTGGTGGTAAGCCTCCAATAAATGTTGATGTTGGAGATACAAAGGGTTTTTTAATCCAATATATTCTTTTCTTTTTCTTTGATTTGGATTTGGATTTGGATTTGGATTTGGATTTAGATGTGTCTTGTTGGAGTTTCTTTTCAGCATCACTACTTTCACTCGATGAAGAGTTATCGTTCATTACTAACTGATTTTTTAAAGTATTCTGAATTTTATCCATTTCGTCTTCGGATTCAGATATATCAACGTCTTCACTCATAGCGTTCGGTATGACAGTGTGATTTTTAGGAGTTATTTTATCAGGCATTTCTAAAAACAATCAAACCAAAATTCACTATAGATTCCTCTCAAACTGAACAATAACTCACGAAATATATCTGAACTTTTTGAGGAAAAACTCCAGTAGAAATTCAGAATTTGATCACTTTGATTTTGACGTTGACAGGTGAAATTGATAGTTCTAACGATTCATCATAGAACTACAATGAAAGGCTGGACTACTCTCCAATGAAGACTTGTTCTGATAGATGGCGTCAGTACGTTGGAAAACGTGTTATGAATAAACATATCGTACCGTAGCTTTCTCTGTTCAATATTATAAATAAGTAGCTGCCGAGAACATTATATTTCAATGACAGATATTTTTTACAAAATGTCAACCAGTGATTTTGTAAAAATAGCTCCTTGATTGCGTCTTTTGTTTGAGATATGAAATTTTCTCAGAGTAATTAAAAAGCAAAATGCTCTCAGAGTAAGGTAACTGAGGTCAAGAATTTGTCACAATCTCTAAATATTAGAGCGGAAGGTTGACAACAATTTTGGAAACTTTTGACCCCATACAGCCGGGAGGTGCCAAAAGGTAACATTCTCGTTTTTTCTAATTTTATAAATTACCAAAAAGCTGTTGTTAGTAGTGACGCACACTAATTATCTATTAAGGAAAATTTTGGAATAGGTGGTTCGCATATTGAATTTTAATAGGTGTTCAGAAAAACGATAATAATGGTTATACTCATTTTCGAAGTTCATCAGTATATATGAGACTATTTTCAGAAAGTGATATGTATTGATTTTGAATGAAAGATAAATAAATTAAGCAATGTGTGTTCTTAATTATCGTGGTATGAGAATGACCTTCAACGCTAGTTTGAAAGAGTTCTCGATAAATCAGTCTTGCAATGTTACCGTTTGGTACCATCCGGCTGAAAAGGGTTAATATGTAGACATCGAACATTATCAATATATCCACCATATTGAAATACAAAAAAACAGTAGTTACCTATGTATTAATCTATAGAGAAAAACAAGATTATGTGTGTCTATCATATTCGAAACCTGGAAAAGAAATTTTCATCTATATATCAATATGTAGACACAAAATAATGTTAGTATTTTCACCCTGTTCGAAACAGAAAAACAACAGTTTTGATCTATATATCAACATAGATATTGAACCATCACAATATTTCTATCATATTGGAAACGAAAAATCCGATACTCATCTATATATTAATACAGAGATATCGAACAATATCAATATGTCCATCATATTGAAATCAAAAACAAACCAATAGTCATCTGTATCTATTGATATATAGATGTAAAACAATAACAAAATGTTCACTATAGTGGACACAGAAAAAAAACGAATAGTTATCTATATATTAATATATTGATTTCAAAGAATATCAATATTTTCACTATATTGAAAACAAAAGAAAACAAAATAGTTTCCTATATATTAAAATAAACAGTATGAATGTGTCAACCATATTCGAAGCCCGAAAAACGGAATTTTCATCTATATATCAATATATAGATATAAAAGAGAATTAGTATGTCCACAGTATTCGAAAGTGGAAAAACAAAAATTTTCATCGGTATATTAATAGATAGATATTGAACCATATCTATGTCCTCCACCGTATTCGAAACCAAAAAAGCTAATAGTCATCTACATATTAATATATAGTTACCAATAATATGAATATGTTCATCATATTGGAAACAGAAAAAAAAGAAATACTTATATATCTATTAATATATAGATATTGAACCATATCAATATGTGCATCATATTCGAAACAAAAAAAATCAATACCCATCTATGCATAAACATATAGATATCGAACAATATCAATAGGTACACCGTGTTGAAAGCAGAAGAAAACAATAATCATGTATATTTTAATATATTCCCTCGACTGTAGAGAAGGTGATGTGAAAAAAAGTAAAAACAGTTTGTGTGTCTGTGTGTCTGT